AACTTTACTCCCATCCAAAAGACCACCAAATCCTGCTATTGATTCTTTTCAGAAATAGTTTCTAAATTTTGCCACTTTAGTCCACCCTTTTACCATTATTTTCATTCAGACCCAATCACTAATGCTCTTGAACTGGTTTAACAGTTTCCTAACTCTACTCTTTTGTTTCTGGTCTCTCACCTTTTCAACCCAGGTTTTATAGGCAAAGTGATTTGCTAAAGGTTAAATCTGACTATTCAATTCCCATGTTTAGAATTCTTCAACACCCTGCCATCATTTCTTAATGTGGTTCCCTGTTCCACTTACATCAGAATTATTTATAAGGAAGTTCCTTGAAAACATCCCCAAATGTTTTGTCTTATAAAATGACACCCCAATATAGAACACTGGTACACAACTGACGCTCAATACATATTTGCTGATGAACATCCCCTTCCCGTGTTCCCATCTCCTCTGTAGCTGTGGCTCCAGCTGATTCTTCAATGGGGCTTGCTGAACACGACTCTCTCCCTGTGCTCCCAGACACTCCTCTACCATGGAACTCTGATACTCTGACTGCACTACTTCTGTTTATTTCCACTTCTGCTTTCTGGATGCACCACGAGTTCCTCAAAGTCAAAAACTGAGTCTTATTTTGCTGTCACCTGAGTTGAAAACAGGGAGACTAGTCACTCTCATTCAAATGTCTGTTGAATGAATGGATGAATAAATAAAAAACTAAAGAGACCAAGACATTACAGGGATTAAGATATAAATTACAAATCAACGCTTTGATATTTAATAAATCAGCAAGTGAATACATATGAAGTTGTTTGTTCTCTGCAACACTTCTGCTAGCATTAAAGAGAAAAAAGAGAAAGTGTTATTCACTCAGGCGTGTCTGACTCTTTGGGTTCCCACGGACTATAGCCCACCAAGCTCCTCTATCAATGGGATTTGCAGGCAATAATTCTGGGGTGGGTTGCCATTTCCTTCTCCAGGGCATCTTCCCAATCCAGAAATCAAACCTGTGTCTTCTGTACTGCAGGCGAATTCTTTATTGTCTGAGTCACCTAGCACAGAGGTTTTCAAAGTGTGGCTTGGGCACTCCTGCAGGTGTACAATAACCTTTTAGGGCATCTGTGAGTAAAAATTATTTCTGTAATAACACAAATGCTCTTTGCCTTTTTCACTCTCCTTCTCGTATGAGTGAGTGTACAGTGGAGTTTTCTAAAGACTACACGACAAGTGCCTTTGCAGCTGACTAAATGTGGACAGAGCTATAAGCCAGACAGTAAAGAGATCTGTAAAACTGCAAAACAATGCTACTTTTCTCACTTGTTTTCTGAAAATAATATTTATGTTAACATGTGACAGATTTACTATTGTCATTTTAAAGTAATTACTATTTAAAAAATACTCTGGTTTTAAATTTTTAATATGGAAACAATTATTATTAGACACACATTTTATAGAGCTCTTTAGAGTCCTTAATTTTTAAAAGTGTAAAGGAGACCTCAGGCCAAAAAGTTTGAGAAGCACTGCTCTCGTCTTAAAACTGATCAAATTGTACGACTTTCTCTAAAGCAGTTAGTCATCCAAATTCCTACTTAAGAAGGCCCATAACTCAGTTTTTATTGAGTTTTTTTTCCCCCCACCAGTGGATGGACAAGCTTCTTGCACAGGAATGTTGATATCTTACCTAATCTGCAAGTCTATCAAAATGTGCCACTTCTTCCATGAAGCCTTTTCCTAATTTTTTTTTTCCCAACTGCACATGCTATTTGCCAGTTTGATATAATTTTTTCAGCTCTTACTGTTTTGCATACTTGCTATGGCTTGAATGTTTCTATCTCCTCTACATTCATCTGTGGAAATTCTAAGGCCCTATTCCCTGGTGTTGGGAGGATGGAGTCTTTGGGAAGCGCTTAGGGCTCGGGTGTGTAGCCCTCAAGAATGAGATTAATGTTCTTATTAAAGGGACTTCACTGAGATCCCTAGACCCTTCTGCCACATGAGGATCTAACTCAGGAGCAGGCCTTCACCAAGCCACGTTTGCTCCCTGATCTTAGACGTCCAGGCTCCAGAACTGTCAGAAATAAATTTCTGTTATTTATAAGCCACCCAGGCTGTGAAATCTTGTTATACCAGCTGGAACAAACTAAGTCATTTGTTTTCATTCCTCTCAGACCATAAAGTTCATGAAGACAGAATGACACAGTGTAGAAAGAGAATGTGCTCTTGATCTAACACATTGGGGTTTGAATTCTAGCTTCCCTGTTACTAACTCTGGGATCCTTGGCAAGTTTCTTAAATTCTTAGCGGCCTGGTTCCCATGTTTTTGAATGCAGATAACAATAGCTATCCTGCCATCATCCCCACTCAACAGAACTTCATATAGGGCCCACTGGGCACCCCCAAAATAGTAGCTATTACTATTAAAAAATCTCTGTGAATCTTGTATTTCCAATCATATTACTTTCAACACTATGGTAGTGGTTTAGTCAGTAAGTCATGTCCAACTCTTGCAACCCCATGGACTGCAGTCCATCAGGTTCCTCAGTCCATGGGATTCTCCAGGCAATAATACTGGAGTGGGTTGCCATTTCCTTCTCCAGGGTATCTTCCTAACCCAGGGATCAAACCCGGATCTCCTGAATTGCAGGTAGATCTTTACCGACTGAGCTACCAGGGAAGCCCTTCAACACTATAGGCAAGGGATAAATGTTTCTTAGATTAATTGATATGTACCATGCTATAAAACCAGCCCTTGAAGCGGAAAAACTATGAGGCTCAAAGAAATGCCAGTCACGGTCATCTACTCTTTTTTCCTTTTAAACTGACATCCCTTTTTGCTATAAAATACTAGGATTACTTTCTTTTCCTGTTCCTCTGAACTTTCCCCCAGACCCCTATCCTCACTCGCCTTTCTCTTTCCTCTTAATCTGTACCTGTAAAGCTCTTGACAGATTAAAAACAAAAAAGTATTTTAAATGTACTCTTTTGCTTCCCTTATGATTATTTCTAATACACAATTAGGTTGTTCCACAAATCTGAAGGAGTATGCTATTTTTTCTTAGGTTCTAAAGATACCTTCAGTCATGGCAAAAACATTCTATTTATACTTCTTCCATCACACACAAATCATTAGCTTCTACAAATAAGTGGACTCAGTAGTTTTAGCACAGTTTAAATATACATTAGATATCAGTGGATAAAAACACTGAAAAATACATTTTTATCTGTAAAGAATTTTTCAAATGCCATAAAATTTATACTTGATCATTATTGATTTGTGATAGACCTCAGACAAAAGGAAAACACTCTCCTTGCCTCATTAACAAGAAGCCTGTTTCAAATTTTCAAGATTCAATAGAGCTGAATTACTGATACTACGAGTACTGTCAATTTCAAATTGTTTGGGAGCCATAAAATAGAATCAATAGTAAGAGAAAAACAACCAAATTCTTTGGGAAACTTTTGCTTTTGCTTCTTACTACTTCTGTAACCAAAGTATGTAGTTAGTGACAATATTTCTCAAAACACCCAAATGCTAAAAATCCCCTCTTAACATTCCTGCATTTCTTTCTCCTGTATCACCCAAGACATTTTGTTCTTTCCTTTAGATCTCCACTCATTAGGACACGACTGTCCTATGAGGAAAAGGCTCTCAAGATTGTTATCTAATCTGTTTCTAAATCTCCTCTCAGCCAGCGTAACTTAATTACGTGAATTAGGTGGGAATTCATCCCAGTCTTGAAGATCCTGCTTGCCCAGCATCCTGCAAGTACTTTCTTACTACCTAGTTTACTACATAGTTTGTGTTCTAAAAGAGCAGGAACAGAGCTAAAATATTGATCTGTGTTTCTTTGTCTAGCATTACCTTCTAGCACAGTCCTTCAATACAACTGTGCTGCTCTAAAAAAAATTCGAATTCCCTTTAAACAAGACTCGAAGTGCAAGCTTTAGTTTACTCTCCTCGAATATTGTGAAACTTCTGCGAAGGATGAACGCCAAATCAAGCACTGGAAGTGGCAAATCTCATGGGAAAACAAGAGAAGACAATAAGAAAAAAATGTGTAAGACAACAGTGTCTTGAAACAGAAGAGGGAAAAAAAAGAGAGAAAAGAACCCAAGGAACAAACAAACAACCACCCCACCCCCACCCACCACCAAACACTGAGGTGGGTTATCCCAAAGGCAGTGAGTAAAAGGCGAAAAACACAGAGTAAGGGGCAGTGCCAGGGCAAAGGGCACACATTTCACAACTGCAGAGATGTAAAGAGCCTTGGAGAAGGAAATGGCAACCCACTCCAGTACTCTTGCCTGCAAAACCCCATGGATGGAGGAGCCTGGTAGGGAACAGTCCCTGGGGTCGCAAAGAATCGGACACGACTGAGCGACTTCACTTTCTTTCTTTAAAGAGCCTTGGAAGTTTGTCACCCCATACCCCGTCTCATGGTTGATGGAATCCTGGGCTGTGGTTTCTCCGCCTCTATTTTAGAAGACAGACACCCCTCTCCCACCCCCTTCTTCCAGTGCGCCTTGCCAAGAACGCTGTCACCCACCTCCGAGGACCGTGCCCAGGAAGATGCATTTCTTTTTGTGACGTTTCAGAAAATTCCACGTAGATCTAAGCATTTTTCAGGCCCCCGGGGTGCGCGCTGTCTAGAGGGAAGGGATGATGGTCCACCAGGAAACCCTTTCTTTGTCGCCTGGCACGGACGACCGGGCTGGACGGCCGAGTCCTGCTCGGTGCTCTCCAGAAATCACAAAGGCGACTTTCCGCAGACACTGTTACCGGAGCGGGAAGGGGGCGTGGACTAGAGCTGAGCAGCTGCCCTTTTCTGTTGCTGCTGCAGCTCACTGGTCCGGGGCGCCTAGGTCCGTCCAGAATTCGCTCCCGAGTGCCTCACCATTCGATTCCCCCGGAAACGACACCCCGCATCCGCCGCGTTCCGTAGCCTGTGCTCCTATTTCCTCGCGGCCTCTGTAGCTGAGCGAGGCGGCCCGGGTGCAGTATGGAGGCGAAGGCGGGGTCCACGGCGGCTACCGATGGCGCGTACTCGGTGTCTGCAGAGGAGACCGAAAAGTGGATGGAGCAGGCGATGCAAATGGTGAGGGGGCCGGGGCGTGGACGCATAGGGTCGGAACTTTCTCCGGCTTGTCCCGACCGAGCATTTGAGTAAACGTCCCCGGGGTGCTTTCTGGGTCTCAGTAATCTCGATGGTGCTCACAATCTCTGGGTAAACAGCTGGTTTTTACTGTTCTGAAATGTTCTTTAGTCCATTCTCACAGTGGCTCTGAGGGAAGGAAGAGAGGAAATACAGAAATTGTTTCTTTTTCACTGGTTTGAAGTAAGCGTCAACATCCCTATTCCGGGCTGCTGGCACGTGCGTGCTGCGTCCCCTTCTTTCCTGCGGACACTGGCAGATCCGCGAATTTCCATTATTTTGTCTGTATGACCCCTTGAACCTATCTAGGAGAAGGAAGGAGGCTGAGGATGTTTCTGGTAGAGAGCAGGATAAAAAGCCGTTTGAGCAGATTGCACCATTCATTCATTCATTCATCCATCCGTCCGTCCGTCCGCTTGACCTTTGCCCTTTAACTTTCTTCGCTCACTCCCTTCAGGACTCTGATTAAGGAGGGCTCTGATAAGCTTTGTGTACAACCCAAACTTTACCCGTACTTATGTGTGCCAGCGAACTCTTTAATGGGGATAAAAGTGTATTTGGCGTATATGTATAGGCATATAAATCATTTATGCATATTTTTAAAAACTTGTTTCTCATACTTTTTTGAAAGTGGTGGTGGTGGTTTAGTCGCTAAGTCGGGTCCGACTCTTGCGATCCCTTAAACTGTAAGTGACTCACAGTTTTTTAAAAAAAAAAAAAAATTATTTTGTATTACATTCCAGTAAACGCCCAGTATACGCATAGGTATAATTGAGACAAAAGTTTTACAAAATGATGCTTAACCTTCCTAAGCACAGTTTTCCTGGTATTTCTCCTTCATTCCATTTTGGAAAAACAAATGCTGGTCATCATACCTGATTTGATTTCATGATGCAGTCTTTCAGCCCACTTCAAAATATATTCTCCCCATTAAACTTATAGGACATGTAACTTTTTGTTTGATACTTTAATGTTGAAATATATTTTAAATAATTAATTCCTGAACTCATTTTATGTTACTAAATTCTTCCAGCTGGACAAAAGGAGTTTTCATATGGTATCAAAATTTCTCTCCTTCCCCCAAATGATTTCAATAATATACGCTGGGCAGCATAAGTCGTGAGGATGATAGTAAATGCACGCGAAGGTTGAAATGTCTCAAATTAAGCTGCATTTACATCTTTCTATGGATAAGAGACCTGGAGGTCAGGGGATGTGGGAATGCTGAAAAGTTTTGGTCTCTTCCATTTATTTTCATTTGCTCCAGGAACCCTCCTCAGAATATTTATGGGGAGCTTGCATAGATGAAATTTTGAGAGATCCTACCATAGAGGACTCAATAGTGGTTTTAGAAATAGCTAAGTTTATTCAGCCATTGAACTTTTCCCCTTTGTGTATCAGACATGTGTTTTCTATCTCTCCTTTCGTATCCTCTATACTATTCTCTAGACTTCTGGACTGAACATTTGAGTCTTTTTACTACCTTTTAAAAAAAATTAAACTTTTAATTTTGTATTGGAGTATAACCAATTAAGAATGTCATTATTAAAAAAAAAAAAAGGAATGTCCTGATAGTTTAGGTGGATAGCAGAGGAACTCAGCCATATGTATATATGTATCCTTTCTCCCCCAAACTGCCTCTTATCCAGGCTTCCACATAACATTGAACAGAGTTCCCTGTGCTATACAACAGATTCTTGTTGGTTAACCATTTTAAATGTAGCCTATTTGATATGACCTTGGGCAAGTCACTTTATCCCCCTAGAGTATTGCCTCTTACTCTTAAATGGGATGGTTGAACTCCTAGTAGTCTTTAGGATCTCTCTGGCCTTGACATTTTTGTTTCTTAAAGTATAGTGAAGTCTCTCAGTCGTGTCCAGCTCTTTGCCATCCCATGGACTGTAGCCTACTAGGCTCCTCCATCCATAGGATTTTCCAGGCACGAGTCCTGGAGTGGGTTGCCATTTCCTTCTCCAGGGGATCATTCTGACTCAGGGATTGAGCCCAGGTCTTCTGCATTGCAGGCAGACGCTTTACCATCTGAGCCACAATTGGACTATAAACTCCTAAGGGTGTGATTACCTAGTTTATCTCCACAGGGTCAAGGAGGTCCTTAGTTTGCACTTTTTTTTTTTTGGCCAGTAGTATATGTTTCTTCCCACTCCAGAATTCATGCCTGGAGAATCCCATGGACAGAGGAGCCTGGCGGGCTACAGTCCACAGGGTCGCAGAGTTGGACACGACTGAGCGACTCACACACACACACATATGTTTCTTCCAGGTCTTAAACAAAGGGAAAAGAATGCTTGTGATAAATCTTGGACTTTGTTCAACCATCCCCCCAACCAACCTCCACTAAAGGAACTTCAAATTTTAAAGTACTTTGAAGACTTGTTGAAGTAATAGAAAATGTCCTGTGTACTTCTGAGAAGAGTTTACGATCAGACCAGAAGCATAGCTTGTACCAGATTTTAGAGGTAGCTAATGTGTTCTGAGGAATTTGAAAGTGAGGTGTCTGGTGTACATATAATAATAGGGAGGATACTAGCATTCTTGCAGCACCCGGACGGAGTAGACATATTTATATGACCGATTCAAGGGGCTAAGTGTTTGGCTGATTGATGTTAGTGTTTGTTGGGCGAAGGCCTGGAGGAATTGGAATGGAGATGGATTCTTTAAAGTATATGATGGGGGAAGGCGGGAGAGGAGAAGCCTGAGAAGCCGCAGCGAGCTGGAGCCGCCGGAGGACCTGAAGAAGAAGCAGAAAAACCTGTGAAAACTAAGACTGTTTCTTCCAGTAATGGAGGGGGAAATTCCAGTCACAGTGCTGAGAAGCGATCAGCTGAAGATGAAACTGCAGACCTCCCAACAAAGCCTACAAAGATCTCCAAGTTTGGATTTGCCATAGGTAGTCAGACGACAAAGAAAGCCTCAGCCATGTCCATCAAACTTGGCTCAAGTAAGCCTAAAAAACCGGTTCCAACTCTTGCTCCAAAAACCCTTTCAGTAGCAGCAGCTTTTAATGAAGATGAAGATAGTGAACCAGAGGAAATGCCTCCAGAAGCAAAGATGAGGATGAAGAATATTGGAAGGGATACACCAACATCAGCAGGACCAAATTCCTTCAATAAAGGAAAGCATGGGTTTTCTGATAACCAGAAGCTATGGGAGCGAAATATAAAATCTCATCTTGGAAATGTCCATGACCAAGACAATTAAGTGATGTGCTTTGAAATTGGGGTGTGGGTTGGGTATAAAGTTAAAAGGAACAGTTTCCTTTTTTAAGGAATGGTATAAGACTATCTTTGGAGCCGCCTTTTTTTTCTTTTTCTTTTTTTAAATATTGAGTGGTACACTAATAAATGAGAATTTGAAATTAGAAGTAATTTATGTTTTATATACAGATTTCGAGACATTTACTAATTTTGTAGTTTCATGTGATTAGTTTCCAAAGGTTACAGATACTAAAAAAATCAGAAATGGTACCTTTCTAAGAATTGCATATTTTTTTAGACACAACTATTAGCACATTAGGAGGGAAGCAAAAAGTTGTCTATTTAAACTGTAGGCTGTTACTCTCTAACTTAACTCCCTTATTAATCTAAACTTGTCTGGCTCCCAGGAACAGCCTTATAGAGAAGGGAGTATTGTATTGGGAGGAAAATGTTACTGGACTATTGACTGAGAAAGTAAATTAGATAAAATACAGCTTTTTTTCTTCCCTAATGGGCATTTGTTTAGTTTCAAATCATCATTAACTAGTTATTGCATTGCTATCAGTGGATACAGATGCTTAGCTCTTTAGAAAGAACATTTTAAAATTTTACATAAACTGTTGAGTGTTTAAAATAGCCCACTTCACTTTAAAGGGTTTGTCTACCTTCATTAGTCTTCAAAGAACAACCATTTGCTACCAAAGTAAATCAGTATTTTGAATGTGCTTCTCTTGATTTTTGTTATTAGCTAGTTCCTGTAAGCATTTCCACCATATCTTGAGGCAAATCATAAGGAAGCTGTTTCTTTTAAAATAACAAACCACCACCAAAAATTTCAATGTACATAATAGTTAAATGTTTGGCTGTTCTTATTTTTTAAAGGGTATAAACACCAAAAAAAAGGGGGGGGGGAGCAACAATGTATGAAGATGGAAGATAAGAAAGATGCACTTTCTGTAACTTTATCAAAGCATTTATGTTACTAACTTGTGAAATCCAATTTGATTTGAACTTATTAACAGGAATTCTTATTTAGCACAAAAATATGGTTTACTTTAACTGTATACTTGCTAACCAGTGGCCTCTCAAAAGCACATTTTAGATACTGAAAATGAAAGAAAATGCATCTTTAAACATATTTTATGGAATCTTCAACCACATATACTTTGTTAATCTATGTGTTGTAGGATTTTGTTTATTTTGTATTTTTGTATTGTATATGAATTCTTTTTTAATGTGACAGTTAAACATCTTTTAAAGCATAGACACACATAGAAGAAACATACAGTATAATGATTTTCCTTGAAAACTACAATGTTAGATTTTGGAGGCAGCTTCAGACTGATTGGTGGTAACTACTTGCTCTGAGCTCTTTTAATAAGTAATAACTCCAGAGAAGCAGCCTGTATATATTCCTAATACTTTGTTCACTTGCATTTGAGTTTAGAAGCCCCAAGTAAAACAATGGAAATGTATATAGAACTATTAGTTCTTACTTACATGATTTAATTATATCAAGATACATGAATTTAACTTGCCTAAATGTAGGCAAACTTTCCATTTTTGTTCATTTTGATGTTTATGTTGAAATAACACCCCTCTCCTACATTTCATTTTCTTGACTCAAATATCAACCTACGGTCAAGATGGGAGAGAGAAACAACTAAGATGAATGTCTTTACTAAAATACCAATAAATTTGTCAAACTCTAAAAAAAAAAAAAAGTAT